TTCCCCGGCAGAGCACCTGGTGGATTCGAACCGTGCACCTCTGGGATTGTAGTTGCAGCTTCTTGCCACTAGGCCACCAGAGCTCCCCAGGATATTTCTTAGAAAGCAGGATGGTGAGACGTCAGGTAACTTACTTAGTGACATAGAGAGTCAGTGAAACAAAAAGGCCTTCAACAAGATGGTTTGACATAGTGGCTCCTACAGTAGCCCCAAGCACAACAGAGATTATGAAGGTGGCCCAGTATCAGGCGGTGAGATTATGAAGGTGACCCAGTATCAGGCAGTGTTTTATTCCTTTGTATATAGAGTCACTAATGGTAAGAAACTGCATGCCATCCCAAAGGCACAAAATTCAAGTCCAACAGCTGCTCTGTGGGAGGTTGAACAGTCTTTTCTCATGCATGCAATTTACTGCCTCTTAAAACCCACTAGAACGACAGCTGTGAGCCCATTCCAAATCCATAGCATGCAGCAACAACAAGGGAGCTCTGGTGGCCTATTTGTAAGAAGTTGAGTTGCCAACCCAAAGGCATGTGGTTCTAATCAGCCAGTTGCTCCATGGAAGATAGGCAGTTTTCTCTTGGGCTAAGGACTTGGGGTTTCTGCTGGAGGGTCATCTGTGAGTTAGTTCCAACTCCATGGCAATGACTGGGCAGCTAGTGGATATTTTTTTCTGATCTCAAGGCTATCTTTGATTTCCCCTGGTGCTCTTTGTTCCAGATGTGGAGAGACTAATAGTTGTACGGTTCAGTTGCGTGTGACTCATAGCAATGCAATGAACAATACATCTAAACTCTGTTCTTTCTTTTATCAGCCTTATCATCCTTGACACTTTTGAGCCCATTTTCACAAACACTGTCAATTCATTTCATTGAAAGTTTTTCTCCCCTTCTCTGACCCTATACCTTCCTAAGCATGATATCTCTTTCCAAGATTAGCCTCTTCTACCACCAAGTCCAAAGTGTGTGAGACAAAGCTTAACCATACTTGCCTCCAAGGAGCACTTTGGTTGCACTTTCTCTGACATACACCTGTCCATTCTTTTGACAGTCCATGGGATAGTAACTCTTCAACACCACAACTCCAATGCATTGATTTTTCTGCCATTCTTATTTATTGTCCTGTTCTCAAATGCATAGCAGGTGATTAGAAAGACTATTGCTTGAATCAGGTGAACCTTAGTCCTTAAAGTGACATCATTGCTCATCAGTATTTTACAGTGTCCCTGACAGCAAACTTTCCCAATTGTATATGTGTCCTACTATCCAGACTTCTGGTGCCAAGGATATTGGTTGTGGATGTAAACAAGATGAAATCATTGACAATTTCAGTCTTTTCTCCACCTACCATGATATTGCCTCTTGGCCCAGCGATGAAGTTTTTTGTTTTCTTGATGTTGAGATGTAATCCACATCAAAAGCTATAGTCCCTGATCCTCTGCAGCAAGTGCCTCAAGTCCTCCTTGCTTTCAGCAAGTAAGTTTTGTCAATGCATAATGCAGGTTATTGGTGAGTCTTCTTCAGTCCAAATGCCACACTCTTCTTCATAGTGTCCAGTTTCTCTACTGGTTTGCTCAGTGTTCTTATGCGTACTGCTCTCAGAGTCCAGGTTTCTTGGTTTTTTACCTCTATTAAATTACTTGAATCATTGGACAACTTTACCTTCTTTTGTTACTGTCTCAAAGATGACCTAATAGTGTATCTTAGTTCTGACAGTTTTGAGTCTGAAAAATAGGATAACATTTTGTTTTCTGACAGTTGAATAAATACTGTAGGTAAGCCGTATTTACCTGAATGATTAGAGACAAAACTAAAGGCTATCATTTTCTTTTTCTTTCACTATATTTATTGTTGTTAGGTAGTTTTGAGTTGGTTCTGAGTTGGTCCAGTCTGCACTGTCCTCACAACTGTCTGTGTACTGAGCCCCTACTCATAGCCACAATGTCCCTCCATCCTGTTGAGGATCTTACTCTCTTTCTCTGACCCTGCTTTGCTAAGCATGATGTCTTTCTCCAGCAATGGACACTTCAATAACATGCCAATAGTGTAAGAAATACCATACCAGAGTTGAGCCATCCTGGTTCCATGAAGCATCCTGCCTGTACTTCTTTCAGGATAGGTTTGTTTGTTCTTGTAGCAGTCTGTAGTATAGTCAGTATTCTTCACTGTCACCCTGTTTAAAGCACATGAGTTCTTTTTTGTTCATTATCCATGTTTCGCTTGTATATGAGATAGCCTGGGCCAGTTGCACCTTAATCCTCAAAGTGGCATCCTCACTGTTTAATGTATTAAAGTAGTCCTTACCCCAAAGAAGATTAATCAGAACTGGCTTTGACAAGCACTGTGGCATTTGGACAAGAACAAACTGGGAGGAGGGTAGAGAGAATAGTGCAACAATAAATGAATGGAAACCCAAAATCTCTGTAAATGTTTATAAAAATTAATAAAATATAATTATAGAAAAAAAATAAAATAAAATAAAAAGTAGTCCTTACCCATCATTGCATTATATTGTTTGAATTCTTGACTGTTGCTGCCACAGGCGTTGATTGTGTATTCAAGTAAAATGAACTCTTTCACAACTTTAACCTTTTCTGTTTATAATGATGATGTTTATTGGTCCAGTTGTGAACATTTTTATTTTCTTTAAGCATCATCAGTATATGCTTAAAATATTTTTTTTCTTAAAATCTTTCTTTTTAGCAAGCAAGGTTGTGTTATCCATTTACCACAGATTATTAACGAATCTCCTTCCAATCCTGGTACTGTGGTCTTCCTATAGTCCAGTGGTGCAGTGATTAAACATCAGTAGTTCAAACCCACCAGCTGCTCCGTGGAGCGGTCTACTTTGTAAAGATTTGGAAATCTTGTCAAGTAGGTCTCCTCAGTCTGGAGGAGTTGGTATGAGTTGGGATATACTTGACAGCAGTGTGTTTTACTTACATCATAGAGTTCTTGGGTGAAACAAACCATTAAAGTTTCACCTCATTGCATCAGCTACAATATTGACTAAATGTTTCTTTTTCTCTTTCACAGATTTGGGCCTGGATCAGTATATAATAAAACGCTTTGATGGAAAGGTGAGAGAACTATGATCCTTATGTATGTATTCTGTAGTAAATAACTTGTGTATATATTCTGTAGTAAACAAAAAAGATTTAAAATTTCCCCTAGAATTATGTAGGAAAGAGTCCTGAATATGCTTTTTTCCCCCAGAATATTTTTCATCTTATCAAAAATACATATTGCTTGGCACTAAGAGGCCTATAAGTACCTACCAATACTCTTGAGGGGGAAGGGAAGTCAGGCAGAAAGTTTGACTAGTATTTTTTCATATAAAATTAGTCTCATGGGTTGCCTGCTATATACATTGAAGACTAAATGTTGTTATTTGAGTGTTAACTATCTTTAAAATGAACAAGCGCTGATACTGCATTTTTATTTCCTGCAGTGTCTCTGCAAGAAAAAGTTATTTCTTAAAAAAACTATCTTCATCAAAATTTCTGTAAATACACAATAATAATCCTAACTAGGTATTTACAGGCATCCTTTGTAGTGCTTATGAGACCCACTACATTTTACATGTACATATGCATTCTGTTTCCAGTTCCTTCTTTCATACCTGAATAAATTGTACAGTAAGTCTTTCTTAGGTCTAGAAAATGGAACTTTCACTTTTGCTATAACCTAAAGCAGTCAGTCAAACATGTTTTTCCGTTTCAGGGTGAAATCTGCAAAAAGAAAAAGAAAGTATTATTCAGGGTCAGAAAGACAGCTAAAGGGTCAATTTTAATGTCAAGGAAGAAGGTGCATCAGAAAGAAGAAAAAGTCAAGCGTGGCAGTACAGATTTTAAAATGAAGGAACTCAGATGGAAAATCATGAAGTGGATGAAAAAGGCAGGATCACAAAAGAGGGTTTAGATGGGTGGTGGTCAGCGTTGGTGGGAGCTGATCTCGCAGGAGGGTACAGATGCTTGCCGGCATCATCACATGAAACTATTTAATACTGGTGAAGTGAAGAGGTGTACTAACCTCTTTTACATAAGTAGGGCGAATGAATGGCTGTCTTGAGATAAGAAAGATCTCAACCTACTTAAAAATTACTTAACCTGTTCAGGTAATAAAATGTTTAAAATACTTCCTGTGGGCATCCTCTTTTCAAAGTTACATATTCTTAAAAAGAGAGAGAGAAAAGTCATTGTTGGAAAATGTTGGGAGACCTAGTTTAGAGTCAGCCATCTCTGATCCTTGATCCAGTATCCATTCTCTGCTTTATACTGTTTAATAAAGGGTGATGATAGACATGTCTCTGGCCAGACAGAATCTGGTTTCAAAGTCTTGGGCATGTTTAGACGCTGTCTTTGTTCCTTAGAGTCTGGTATGTAGAACATAACCAATAAATGTTTGATGACATGCAAAAACTCAGTTAATCACATATTCCTTGGAGAGATGTTTCATTAAGTAAGTGATAAAGCCAAATTAATGTAAATCACCATTTTGATGATTGGTAGAATCTAAAGTAGCATGAGAATCCATTCTTCTATATATGTGTGATTTTACTACAGTATAATTGACTTCTATGATAGTCAGCCTTATTCAAGTTGATTTCATGTTATCAGGGGAACACATTCTGAAAGAGAAATTGACAATTCAGAGGTGGAACAGTAGAATTGGGCCAGTGACCTTGAGCCAGCTTGCTCCCTAGCAAGTAGTGAACCAGCCAGATTTCCTTCTCATCCATGCTTTGATATGCATGTTGAATTCCTTTGCCAGAGTCCTCATCTGAATTCTCTGTTACTTTATGTGAAGTACATTCTGGTTTTAAGGTTAACCTTCAAAGTTTTAAGGTTAACCTTCTTAAAGAAGATTTTTTTAACTGAATTCTCTCTGATTTGTGCCTATAAATTGTCTTTTATTTCATGTGAAGTTTAAGAAAGTTTTTATACTTCTGACCTGTTTTTAAATCTTCATTTTATAAAGAATGAAAAAATGCGTTGAACTTTTCATCAGCTCAAAAGTTTTTGCAGAATTTTTATGTATAAAATCCTTCATTTGATCATTTTAAGGATCAGTGCTCACTCTATTGTCAGTGTTACTATTTTCCCTTGAATCTTCATATCTCTTATTTTAATCAGAAAATTTAAATTCTTAAATAGAATTTCCTCAAAATAAAAAATAAAAACAAACCACAAAACAACCTAGGAGACTGGTGGTATAGTCCCTATGGAATTGCTTTCTAGATTATATCGATCCTGAAGACAGTTTCCAAGGAGCTCTGGTGTCTTCGTAGGATTAAGTGTGCTGCTAACCCCAAGGCACATGATTTTAATCCACGAGCTCCTCCCCAAGAGGAAGCTGGGTAGCCACCTCCTGTGCTATATACTGCCTCTGAAAACCAAATAGAGGGTCAGCTGTGAGTCGGTTCTGACTCAACAGTAAACAACAACAACAAAAGGACAATATCCTGTTTAAAAATAAACTTTTGTAGTAATTATCATTTCATGATAGATTTTTGTTGAAAAGCCAACCCTACAGGAATTTTCCTTTAAAATTGTTGGATTTTCAAAGCAGTAATTTTTCTCTTTTTTCAACTTGGAAGAGAAACTAGTTATGAACTGCTTAAAGAAAGATTTGCTCCTCCTGTGTCCTTGGTCTCTATAGTTTTAACTTCTAACCACCATTGAAATAGTGAAGTATTTCCCAGTATCAAATACTTTGATGAAATTAATTTCTTTCATTGTCTTTTAACCAAAATTCACTTTGGTCTTTTTGTCACTGACAGCAAGAACGAATAGGAAAATAATTATTTGTTTACCTAGAGCATTTCCTGATTTACATTTTAATTTCATAGAACCTCTTTATGCTGATCTTCCTCTAAGATACCAGCAATTTCTTTTGTTGAGAAGTCATGAAATTTATTCTTTTTAGCAGTTGCATTATTAAAGTGTATTTCAAAACAATCTACTAGCTATGATCTTTGTATAAAAAATAGTTATCAGTTACAGTCTGTGATCTTTGGTCTTAAGGATGTATTTTATAGATAAGTGATATTTTTAAAAAAATAGAATAAAAGTGGAAAACCCAAAATATGAAAGAATGCAGATTTTCTTAGAGAGTATCTCAGAAACATTATAAATTGCTTATTAGTCTGGCTTTTATAAATTTACTGTAGTGGCATAGGTTTTTCAGGTTTTGTTTTAAATGCATATGCATCTATGCCCTTGTATTCTCCTTAAGACTTGTTAATGCAGTCATTTCATAAATTTTGTATTCTTTCTTTAATGAAGCCTATTTTTTTAAGTTTAATTTTTTATCATGCTATGTTTATAGTCAGACATTTCTAAATGGAGCCTTTATGTTGTTATTATCAGATATTTATTTCACTTAATCATTCTGTAAACTAAAGATAAATATTGTTTATATCCTTCTTATTTTTCTAGTTTTCTCTTACCCTTTTCCCCTCAGCAAAATCAGATGGAAATTATGTTTTTTATTTCCAGTTACTGTTGCACATAGTAGAAAACTTCTTCCAAATAAAACATATTTTCCTTTAAAATATCACAGTAGAAAAGGTACACAGTCTAGGTAAAACTCTATTTTATATGATAACCATCAGCATTCTTGTTTTTGTTGTGATGATCTTGTCAATCCTAAAAACTGGAAAGCTCAATATTCTCTTTTAATTAAGAACAAATTGCTCATTGAAACACATTTTTTCTTTAATTTCATTCAACCATTTATTTCTTTTTTGGCCAATAGATTTGTATACTAAGTGACAGTAAAGATACTATCCAATTTCAGATGAAAGAGATAAAAGTATTTATTCAAACCTAAAAGGAGAAATATTGATTATGGTATTCATAACAAAATAAATGATGAACAGAGAAACAGGTGACAAATCAAAGCTTTCATATAACCAAATACTTTTGTTTATGAGGTAAAAGTTCTTGAAATACTGATAAACTTCAAATTATCCTCCCATTTGAAGAAAGGTTTTCATTTATCAATATGTGGTAACATTTTCCCTCCTGAAATTTAGTTATCTCAGCACTCTATTTGATTTGCAGTTACATATAACACAAAATGTGAATCTAGGTAAGATCAAGTATAGTACTGCCCTTTGATAAGTAGAATTGAACTCTGAAAGAGCCTCTGCCCTCTAAGATTGAAATGCATTACAGATCAAGGGAATTTAAATTTGCAGAATGAGTACTGAAATTTTTTTTAATTTCATAGAACAGACTTGACTTTTTATTTTTAGGATGAAAATTCTTTTTTAAAAGTTTTGTGTGTGTGTGTGTGTGTGTGTGTGTGTGTGTGTGTGTGTGTACCGTCAAATCGGATCTGACTGGTACAGGAGGAGATTGCCCTCCTTCTCCAGAAGAGCATCTGGTGGATTCGAACCACATACCTCTGGGATTGCTTTGTACCTTCTTGCCATTAGGCCACCAGAGCTCCCTTAGGACTAAAATTCTTAGGGAGTAAAATTTGATGAATCCTTGAGCTGCTTAAATTTGGATAGCAGATTATGATGTTCTTATGTAATTCTACATTTTTAAGCAAATTCTTAACTTTCAGAGATTTTTTTTAATAGGTCATGTTCAAATTCTTGGTTAATTAATATAGCTATTCAAGTTTTTCTGTTGAAAAACTTTGTTATAGAAAGAAGTTTATGGTTTTTACTCATGATCAATGTTTTCATTTACCCTGTCAGTCCTATCTTTAAAGTATATACTTATATTTCTTTTACAATAGAGATAATTTTTTTCAGTAAGTGTAGCAGTTCAGAAAACTTTATAAGTTATTTCAGTACTCTGAGATTAGACAGTTTGCCCAAATAATCTGTACCTTCTTGTTATTTGGGCATAATGTTTAACTCATTTTTTTAAAAATCCAAACTGTTTATTAATAAATTCACTTAATGATTATCATTCACTTACATTTCAGTCTGTAACATGAACATTTTAAAAGTAAAATGATTGGATTTGTCTTTTTATGAAATCTAGTTAATAATAATACAAAATTATTAGTTAACGGTTATTGAATATTTATGTGCCAAACACGGTATTTAAGCCACACA